ATATATATATATATATATATTATTTATTTTTTTATATATATACATTTCATGTTTATATACAAAAATTGTACAAATTTTATATACTTTTTCAGCTACTGAATGTAAATAGTTTATGGCGCGGGTTAAAATTTATAGTACCCTAAAACTAAAACCTGGTTACGCCCTTTATATAGGAAAATCTATATTGTATAGCCGTTTTTCAAATTAATAGTTATATATATATATATATATATATATATATTTGACTAGCAATTATAATTATATTTTATCGGTCCGCTAAATATGTTAAAAACTCTTTATGTGTTCTCCTCATATTCCGAAAAATGTACTCCCTTTATCTTGTATCTTCTATCAGTATTTTTTTTTATGGGTCTGATCTAAATTTTAGTTGTCTTTACGAAAATGGTTATTGTGATGTTCAACTGCTCAAGATTACCCTTTTACATGTTTACTTTAAGTATACACCTTACATCTTCTTTTGTGATTACTTGTGATTGTGGAAAGGTAGTGTAAAGAAATACTCACAAACCTTCCACCTTTCTTAAATGGCAAAACGATCTCGTAATCATTTAAACTTGTACTCATTTTTCATCCCGATAAATAAATTTTTATCTTTCTCATTTTAACACTTCTACTTGATGAACTGAATACTAATAAACACATACGACTGAACGTGTTCTTCACTTGCTGTGACATGACTGACATGTCACATACTAAGACTTTATTCTTTGACACATGTAAGTTGTGGGTTCCACTTTTGGCAAATTACATAAGTTGCCACCTGGCCTATGCCCCAAATCCCTCTTACATATTTTCTGTGGACGATAATAACATTACACAAGCAATCTTTCTAAAGTGTATCTAGTACACACCTCATTTGATCAGGTCTAAGTGTGTGTAACACAAAATGGTATAAGCGCGTGGACAGTAGAAGTAGACAATTTTTGACTTTAATCAACGTCCACAAACAAATCCCAACGGCCATTTTTAAAAGAATAAAAGGGCCCTTAACCCATTTCTTCTCAAATTGGACCCGTATTCACCTTCATCTTCCTCCTTGAAAGCTCGAAGTTGCAGAAAATTTCTTCTTCTTGATCTTCTTATGCGTTTTTCTGTTGCCAATATTACAATCTTCTTCTACTTCTTCCTTCTCTTTTCGACATAAGGGTTCAATTTTAGGGTTAGGGGAAATGCATAATGTGAGAAAATTTTGTTATTATGGTGAAGAAGCTATGGTGATACAGTCATGGAGTGTTGATAATTCGGATCGTCGATTTTATGGATGTCCATTTTATGAGGTAAATATGAATTGTACTTTTATAATCGATTTTATATTCCTTATTAATTTTTCTCTTCGATTTTTCAGAGGGACAGTCGCTTGGCATGTAATTTCTTTGTGTTGTTTGATCCCCCAACTCCAGAACACTTGAAAATTGTGATTTTGGGGTTGCTTAAGAAGAAGAGGGCATTTGATGCATTATTGAAGAAAAATAGCATTCAAAGAAATTGGAGGAGATTGTGTGTGTTGATTTTAATTGTAATTGTATTGAAGTTGATTGTGTTTGGTAGTTCTAAAGATTGTTATATAATGTAAGAAAATGAATGAAGCTTTTTGGTAGATTTTGTATCCCTTTGTTAGAAATGAATAAAAAAATTTGCAACTGTTAATGTTGTTTTGTTTGTGCTTGTTGCTATGTGACCTAAAAATGCAGATAATACACTGCTTACACAGTTAAATAGTGGCTGAAATTGCTGCCTAAATACAGCTCAAATGCTGAAATACTCCCTCCGGTTCACAATAAGTGTACAATTTGCTTTTAGCACGCCCATTAAGAAAATACTAAATTCTATACAAAAATACCTACTATAACTAAACTACCTCTAATTAAACATTTAATGTGAGGAGTAAGAAAACTTTTTAGGGATATGTACATAGGGGTTATTTTATAAAAATAAATTGAATTCTTTCTTGATTACATAACTGGATACTTATTTTGAACCAAAATGAAAAAGCAAATTGGACACTTATTGTGAACCGGAGGGAGTACTAAAGTGGTAACACTAAAGAGATGAATTTGCCAGAAATTTTCAATTTAAACATATTTCATCATAGAGTGAAGGTGTTCATTACAGTCACCTAATAGCAGCCCGCCTTAACAAAAATATAGGTTGACATCTTAACAGCATACCAAAATAACAGTAGATTGCCTTAACAAAATAACAACATTCAATACACCACTAAACAACAGTTCCACAATAACCTAACGGTAGCTCTAAAATAACTTAACAGTCACAATAACAACATTTGATACACAACTACATATAGTTGTTCTTGGATGGCTGGGATGATGAACTTGCTTGACTTAGATTGGAATGGGATGCAGTAGTTCTGGAATGAGATGCAGCAGTTCATTCAAGTGGTCTTCTAGTAGTGGCTGGTCTACCATTCCATTTTACTCCACTTTGTTGGCTTGTAGGCGCATTCATGAATATCTGACGAGGACCTCTTTTCACCACCATGAGAAATCACTATTGATTTACCTCCACCAGACTACCAAAACAGAAAATATTTAGTAAAGTTGTTAAAGCAAACAAGATATAAAGTTAAGTTTGAAGTACTTACAGAAAAACTTGTGAACCCACTCTTGATTGAAACATTCCAAACCCGAAACTTCTAGTTCCTCTTCCACTACCTCTACCAGTTCCTCTTTCTATTCCAGGGGGCAGAAGTAGTTGAAGCTGAAGGTGTATTACTTGCCCTACCTGTCACACCTCCTTTTTACCTTTTACACCCCGTGAAGGGCATAATAAAAGGGAGTTATTTCCAACTTGAAGTGACAATCGAAACGGGATTATTATTAAGATTCAGAGTCGCCACTTGGGAGATTTATGGTGTCCCAAGTCACCGGTTCAAATCCCGAATCGAGGAGAAGAAATGACTCTGTTTAACAGTCCGCGAACCAGAAATCCGAGTAAGGAATTCTGTTAACTCGGGAGAAGGTGTTAGGCATTCCCGAGTTCCGTGGTTCTAGCACGATCGCTCAACTGTTATAATTTGGCCTATTATCTGATTTTAATGCATTTTTGAACCTATGTGCAATTTTAACTTTTAACCGCTTTTATTATTATTTTTAAAGAGAATTACAACGTCGTTAAAAACACGTCTCGAACCACGTCATATAAATGCACCCGTGATTTTTGACATATTTTAACTTCGTTGGGATTTGGATTTGGGTCACATAAATGCGCACCCGAGTTTAGGAAAGTAGATTATTAAATACGCGCCTAAAGTAACTGCGCGTTTGCACTTTGCGAGGGCCATGGAATTTGCTAAATGGCACGCCTCGAATTCTAAGGTTGAATTAAAGCTAATTAACACGAGGGTCACGCAATTGTCATTTTTGTTCGGCACGGCGCACCTCAATTTATCCTAACCAAAAGATTTCTACGTTAACTTACGAGGGACATAAATTGTACAATTTGGCTAGTATGACACACCTCAATTTATTTTCTAAAAGTATTCATATTCAAACGGAAGCAATCATGAGCATTCTCAATTTCTTGAAATTATTACGAAGTCCAGATTCAAAATGAGCACAGTTGTATTTGGCTAATCAACTTCACTACATAAATTTCCATCGAAAGCTAGCACAAAAAAAAGGAACCTGACACCAATTTCACCTCTATTTTTAATTGACAAAATTTGACTATGAAATACAAGGACCATTAAGATTTCTGAAATGTTGTATCTCATTTGATCATCCAAACAGATTGAACACCAGATCAGAACTAACGTATGCATACCTTCATTCGGTCTTTTCAGTGAAAACCAATTTCAAGCATTTTCAATACCAACTTCAAAATTTTCTCATACTAACTTACTGAAAGACAATAACCAGACAAGAAGAACACAAAGCAATATGAACATCAACATGAACAAATATTGACCATTTCAAATATTCATGTACCAAATAAACCCATTTCGTCCAAATTTACTGCACGAAATTGAGAAGAAAGACGAGAGTGAGAATCTGACCTCAATTATATTAATAAGAACTCAGTTACAATAAACTCGACGACCAGATCTGGCCGGAAGAAGCAACAGCAACAAGAGCCCGGACAGCTGCACTCGAACCGGAGCCACGAACCTCAGACGACACTCGCCACTTCAATCGGACTCCATTTTTTAGGACGAAAATTCAAAGAAACAGTAGTTTCACCTTTGATATCAATCGGAAAAAAAACAATCCAAGAAGAGAACAAAATATATATTTGATTTTGGATCTGTTTTTATATCCGTCCTCCTTTCTATTTTCGTGTGTGCGTGTGTGTGTTACGGTATTTCCGGCGAGTTCGCCGCTGTTAAAGAAGAAGAAGCTAATGGGGTGTGAAGAGAAGAAGATAAAGGGGCGTTGCTTGGACGATGGAAGGCTGTGTTTGTGTGTTCTCTGTTAAGAAACCATGGAAGCTGGCTGCTCCTTATCTGAAGAAGATGAAGCCATTGAAGTTGGCTGTTTCGGTGGTCATGAGTGAGTTGAAGAAGAAGGGGTATTGAAGCAGAACCATCCCCCCTTCTGCGTTTATTTTTTTTTTTTTTT